CAGAGGCCAGGGTGCTGGATGGTTCTAGAATATTCTCTCGTGTGCCAAGGTCCTCCATATGTGTGTGTGTGTGTGTGAGTGTGTGTACAGTGTACGTGTGCTGTGATCCACGCTGCAATCTATTTAAACCTAAGTCAACTAGAGAGTTAGCGAATACACATTAAGAAATTCTGTCTCATTAACTAAAAGATCTCCATAAAGTATGTGAAAGTAAACCCTGTTTGGAGATTTCTTGGCGGGACCCCTCCTAGGGGACCATGCGATGGGGCTTCTGAGGGCCCGCCAAGGTGCACAGTCTATTTGTTGTTGGTGGGCTCCAGACTCCAAAAAGGATTTAGACTTTTCTCAGATCAGTTTTTGTACAGAGGGGGGAAAATGGCCTTACACAGGCTACGCTTGATAGCAGATGGAAAGATCTGATTTAGAAGACTGATGACTGCTTGAAGATTGCAGAATCTGGCCAAGATTTGAAGAGGTTTTCAAGCCCTAAAACATAGTCCATATCATGGGCCACAGATGGTGGTCCCGGGAACCTCCAGTCACGTGACGACATGCCCACGGACGCGCCGCTGGGGGCGGTGGACTTGGACATGTCCAAGTCAAATTTGGCTTGATGTCCGCAAAGGCATGGAAAGAAAAACATGGACTTTTTTGACAACCACGGGCTGTTCACAGCTCCTTGACAAAACCAGGCCTGGCCGCGGAGGGGAGGCCCAGCCCCTGGGGCCTGGCACAGAATTTTTCTGGCTGAGTGGCTGCAGGAAACAGATGTCATGGCTTGGTCAAACCCCAGCCTTCTGCAGCCCTGCTTCAACACAGACCCCTGACGCCGGGTGCAGCCTGGACCCTGTACGCACCCACAAAGCCCAGCACCTTCATTCCTCAGGTGTGACCACCCAGGTGCCACACCACAGTCCAGGCGGATCGGAACCCTCTGCCGCCCCTTCCCATCCAGGTTACAGATGTGGCCCCCACATGCTTGAAGCATCTGTTGGGGGAGGGTTGTGGCTAAAAGTGGCAACTCAAGGTCCAAGTCTAAGGAGGCCAGAGTGACAACCCCCCAGTGGCAAGATAATCAAACAGCTTCTAGAAGCTAAATACAAACTCTGAAATTAATGAGCCTTTGAATTCCTTCCTCAGAGGGCTGACCAAAAGCACTGCACACAAAAATATCTATTTTTTTCCAGTTACCCATGTTTAAGTTCCTTAACATATGTCACTGGCTTCAGAATATACACTTAAGGGGCTTTTTCAATAGCAGAGAAGAAAGGTCTTCGCATGGATTTGTGGGTCACAGCCACTGCCTGTCTGAGGAGAACAGAAGGTCTGGGGTAATTTGTTGGACTGTCAAACTTTAATGGCTCTCCTG